CTTTTTGTGATAACGTATCTCCGTGAGGCCAGAATTTCTTTCTGCGTTTCAAGCAAAACGACATATCACGATGGATTGAATGCAGGAGGAGAAATTAGAATCTGGCTTCTTCTATTAAATCAGACATTAAAGAGACAAAGAAAAATGTAAAACAATTTCACTTTTCCACCAATTAAAAAAAAATTTTTTTTAATGTTTATTTTTTTTTTAATTTTTTTTTCAACGTTTATTTATTTTTGGGACAGAGAGAGACAGAGCATGAACGGGGGAGGAGCAGAGAGAGAGGGAGACACAGAATCGGAAACAGGCTCCAGGCTCCGAGCCATCAGCCCAGAGCCTGATGCGGGGCTCGAACTCACGGACCGCGAGATCGTGACCTGGCTGAAGTCGGACGCTTAACCAACTGTGCCACCCAGGCGCCCCTTTAATGTTTATTTTTGAGAGAGAGAAGAGAGAGACAGAGTGTGAGCAAGGGAGGGCAGAGAGAGAGAGGGAGACACAGAATCCGAAGCAGGCTCCAGGCTCTGAGCTGTCAGCACAGAGCCCGACGCGGGGCTTGAACCCGCGAACCGTGAGATCATGACCTGAGCCAAAGTCGGATGCTCAACCTAGTGAGCCACCTAGGCGCCCCTCCACTAAGTTTTGTTTGTTCAGGTGGAAAAATAAAATGCCATTTTTCATTTAAAAAAATTGTTACTTAACTTACCTTTTTTTAATTAAAAAAAAAATTTTAATGTTTATCTTATTATTTTTGAGAGACACAGAGAGAAAGAGTGTGAGCAGGGGAGGGACAGAGAGAGAAGGAGACAGAATCTGAAACAGGCTCCAGGCTCTGAGCTGTCAGCAAAGAGCCCAATGTGGGGCTCGAACTCACAAATTGTGAGATCATGACCCGAGCTGACGCTTAACTGACTGAACCACCCAGGCGCCCCTTAAAAAAATTTTTTTTATGTGTATTTATTTTTGAGAGAGAGAGAGAGAGAGAGAGAGAGAGAGAGCGAGTGGGGGAGGGGCAGAAAGAGGGAGGCACAGAATCTGAAGCAGGTTCCAGGCTCTGAGCTATCAGCACAGAGCCTGATGTGGGGCTCGAACTCACAAATGGTGAGATCATGACCTGAGCTGAAGTGGGACACTTAACCAACTGAGCTGCCCAGGCGCCCCTAACGTAACACCTAAAGGATAATTTTAAATGAACCAATGATCACATATTTTTAAATTTTTCAGTTTTGGGGCACCTGGGTGGCTCAGTCAGTTGAGCCTCCGACTTCGGCTCAGGTCATGATCTCACGGTTCATGAGTTCGAGCCCCGCGTCGGGCTCTGTGCTGACGGCTCAGCGCCTGGAGCCTGCTTCGGATTCTGTGTCTCCCTCTCTCTCTGACCCTCCCCCGTTCATGCTCTGTCTGTCTCTGTCTTAAAGATAGATAAACATTAAAAAAAAAAAATTTTTTTTAAATAAAATTTTCAGTTTTAACTTCTAATACAGCAAACATCAATCAATGTAACCACGTCATTAATAATATTTAAGACTTTGAAAACCACCAGCTTCGGCCAGTCGTGGTTGTCTCCTCCCCCTCCCCTTTGCCAGTGATTTTCTCAGGAATGTGATACAATTCTAGAAAATGGGACTTAAAATCCGCTGGGGACTTCTGAGAAAGTTTTCCTTCCAGGAGAAAAAAAGAAGAGCTGAGTGAAAAGAAACAGTCCCTGTTCTTTTACTCCACTAGGATAATGTGCATGTGGCGTGATGCCTGGAGCTATGGCAGCCATATTGTAACTGTGATGTTCCAACGCTGGGAACGGGGTCTACACTCTAAGGACAGCAGAATGAAGAGATGGAAAGAGTATGGGTCCCTGAAGACAGTATTGAACCTCTGTATCCACTAGCACCAGGCCACCTATCTCTGGATTTCTTGTTTTGTGAGACAATATATCTATCCCTGCTAGATTGTAAGATCCACTTGGGCGGAGTTTTGCCTTGATTTGGGGATGTTTTACCGTTTGAATCACTGATCTGTCACCAGCATCCCAGCCTATGCTGCGCATGACCTGATTTATAGCCCCACCTCAACAAGGGATTATCTCTGTCTCAGCACTTCTCCCTGTTTTGTTTTTAATTGCCTCCACTAGAGGTGGAGATTAGGGACTTATTAGTTTGGGTACTACATCTTGGCTGCTATAACAAAGAGGCCTTAAGTTTATTGGCTCAAAAAGAAAAAATCAAGTTTATTTCTCTCTCACTTACCAATCCAGGCTTAGGTGGTTCTAGGTGACTAGCATTGGCAAACTCAACACAGAGCTTCAATCTCTGTGTCCAATGTAGCTGCACTAGCTCCTGCCATCACATCTGCATCCCAGCCAATGGTAAAAGGCAGGAGAAAGGGCAAAGAGGGAACATATCCATTCCTCTTAAGGGCATGAACTGAAATGAGCATACATCATTTCTGCTCACATCTCACATAAACTCACACGAACATCTCAGAGCTCAGTTACGTGAACACTTAGATCCAAAAGGAAAAAAAAAGGCTCAGAAATGTAGTCATCAACTGGACAATCTTGTGCCAGCTGAAACTCATGAGTTCTATTATTAAAGAAAGAAGGGAGAAACCGGCTACTAGCCATCAACCAGCTATCTTTGCTATGGTCTGGTTTGACTTGCAGCTGTATCTTCAGAGCCTCAAACAGGGCTTGACACATGGTGAATGTTGAGGAAATATTTAAAGAAAGAAAGAATAAAGGGAAAACAAAACAAAAAACCAGAACCCAAGATTCCTGCCCATGATGAATGTGCCACGAGTCTGGAGAGAACTCAGATGAAGAATTAAAGTACCACAAACAATACAAAACAGTACTTGCTGGGGTGCTAAATCAATTAATATTGTCCCTGCAGGGTAGGGGTGCCTGGGTGGCACAGTCGGTTGAGCGACCGACTTCGGCTCCAGTCATGATCTCACGGTTTGTGAGTTCAAGCCCCGCGTCGGGCCCTGGGCTGACAGCTCAGAGCCTGGAGGCTGCTTCGGATTCTGTGTCTCCCTCGCTCTCTCTGCCCCTCCCTCGTGCTCTGTCTCTGTCTCAGAAATAAATAAACATTAAAAAAAAAATATTGTCTCTGCAGGGTAAACCTTTTTTTCTGGCTCCACAACACCCCTCAACTTCCTCATTTCCACAGAAGCTAACTCTCTGGACTGTGACCCACTCCATGGGGCAAAATCTCCGTGGCCCTTCACCCGTGTTCACTTTCTCATGGACCAAAAAAAAAAAAAAAAAAATAGTGACAACAGTGGAGAGTGGCTGGACAATTGCAAAGCTTCACAAACTCAGAGACCAAGAAACAGTTCAACAGGGGCGCCTGGCTGGCTCAGTCGGTGGAGCGTGGGACTCTTGATCTCGGGGTGGTGAGTTAAAGTCCCACGTTGGGTGTAGAGATTACTAAAAAAATTTTTAGGGGCGCCTGGGTGGCGCAGTCGGTTGAGCGTCCGACTTCAGCCAGGTCACGATCTCGTGGTCCGTGAGTTCGAGCCCCGCATCAGGCTCTGGGCTGACGGCTCAGAGCCTGGAGCCTGCGTCAGATTCTGTGTCTCCCTCTCTCTCTGCCCCTCCCCCGTTCATGCTCTGTCTCTCTCTGTCCCAAAAATAAAATAAACGTTGAAAAAAAAAATTTTTTTTTTAATTTTTAAAATGAACTTAAAAAAAAAGGAAACAGTTCAACAGCCAAAAGACATTAAAAAGGAACTGCATTTCCCATACATATCTCTTAAGAACATTGAAAGAAATTCCCAGCAATACTAATTAAAAGTCCCTGTCTTTTCTGGCCTCCCCTCACCCCCACCCCATGCCTTTCAACGGCTCCAACACCTGGTTTACCAAGCCCTGCCTTCACCCCCTCACCTAAGCTCTTCTCCCCCCTCCTCTCAACCCGTTAGACGAGAGGTTCTCGGGGCGCCTGGGTGGCTCAGTCGGTTGAGCAACCCACTTCAGCTCACGTCACGATCTCACGGTTTGTGGGTTCGAGCCCCACGTCGGGCTCTGGTGCGAACAGCCCAGAACCTGGAGGCTACTTAGGATTCTGGGTCTCCCTCTCTCTCTGCCCTTCCCTGCTCATGCTCTATCAAAAATAAATAAACATTAAAAAAAAAAACATTAAAAAGAAAGATAAAGGAGAAGCACCTAACCTGGCTGACTGATTCCTAAGTTTGGCTGCACATCTTGACAGTTTAGAAAAATCTGGATGCCAGGGCACTTGGCTAGCTTAGTCAGTGGAACATGCGACTGACTCTTGGTCTTGGGGCTGTGAGTTTGAGCCTTACCCTGGGTGTGGAGATTACTTAAAAATAAAATCTTTTTTTTTAATTTATTTATTTTTGAGAGAGAGAGAGAGAGTGTGTGTGTGTGTGTGTGTGTGTGTGGGTGTGGGTGTGGGTGTATGGGGGAGGGGCAGAGAGGGAGACACAGAATCCACAGCAGGTTCCAGGCTCCGAGCTGTCAGCACAGAGCCCGAGGTGGGGCTCCAGCTCACGACTGTGAGATCATGACCTGAGCTGAAGCTGGACGCTAAACCGACCAAGCCACCTAGGTGCCCCAAAAATAAAATCTTAAAAAAAAAATTGGGGGGCACCTAGGTGGCTCAGTCAGTGAAGCATCTGACTCTTGATCTTGGCTCAGGTCATGATCTTGCGTTCATGAGTTCAAGCCCCGCGTTGGGCTCTGCACTGGCAGCTTGGAGCCTGCTTGGGATTCTCTCTCTGCCTCTCTCTCTCTCTCTGCCCCTCCCCTAATGGAGTTCTCTCTCTCTCTCTCTCTCAAAATAAATAAATAAAACTTTTTTAAAAATCTGGATGCCAAGGCCATACCACCAGCCAGTTAGGTCAGAATCTGTGTTTGAGGCACCAAGGCTTAGGTGTTGCGCATGGAGGTTTGAACACTACTGGTCTAGCTCTTCATCCTTTCTCCCCTTGACTTGAGACCCCTTCTGCAACCGTGAATGAATCACACTCAAACTGAGTTAAAAAAAATTTTTTTTTTAACTTGGGGAGACTATTTACGACTTGAAGCACTGAAATAAAATGTCCAAAGTAATTCCGTCTTCCACCCCTGGCAGAACCTGGTCACCAGAATCTTTCACTCCCCTCCTGCTCTGCTTCTCCCTGGATGGGCTTGCCTCTCTCCGTGCGATGGCGAAGACAGTTCCGAGAAAGGAGCGTGCCCTTGACAGTTTCAGCAGCCCAGGGTAGTTAGTGAATCCTCTGATTGGTCCAGCTTCGGGTCATGTGTCCAGCCCTGAACCAATCACAGTGGCCAGATGAATAATGTCCTCTGATTGGGTAGGCCCGTGGCGCGCATCCACAGCAGGAGTTGATCCCAGACGTGGACCTAGAGGAACCAAATGGAATGGCGATGTAGGTGGGGTGGTCCCTTTGACGAATGCTCAGCGGGTAAAAATACAGACAGCTGCTCCATAGCTTCCCCTCTGTCTCCTAGTTCATTCTCCGCGTCATAGAAGTCCGGGGAAACCAGTGGGCAAAGGCCATCTCCTTTGAGGACCTCGGTTGCCCAGGAGGCGAAGACTGAATGCTCTTTCTTTTGGGGGCAGGGATGCTGTAAGCACTTATATTAATTATTTAATCACATAAATTAATATGGAAGATTCGGGATATATTTGGGGGGAGATGCTGAATAATTCATACTTGAATCCTAACGCATACATATTATAATGCCAGATAAGTGGAAAATTATACACCAGAAACATTGTTCATGCAAATATGCAGCTTTACATTCCGCACGAACGAGGCATCACGGATTAATTGATAATGAGGAAGCCAAGGCAATAGTAGTTCTAATTCTGTGTTTAGTTCTGTTTGATTCATTAGAATGCATTAAAAGTAAGTTTATGATTGAAAGTTTTTATACGTGCATATTATGCACACGTGCATAATTTTGCATACAATCATAAGGGTGACCATATCGTATGTATTGGGCGGGTTTCCTTTTCTAGGGAAATTGTCCTGTTTCTCTTCCTTTTTTCTGGTTAGCTCCTCCTCCCACCTTTTCTCCTTTTCCTCTCCCTTCCTCGCCTCTAGTTCATATACCCCTATAAAGATAGGGGTATATGTAATTTTATTTTTTTTCAACGTTTATTTATTTTTGGGACAGAGAGAGACAGAGCATGAACAGGGGAGGGGCAGAGAGAGAGAGGGAGACACAGAATCGGAAACAGGCTCCAGGCTCTGAGCCATCAGCCCAGAGCCTGACGCGGGGCTCGAACTCACGGACCGCGAGATCGTGACCTGGCTGAAGTCGGACGCTTAACCGACTGCGCCACCCAGGCGCCCCATATGTAATTTTATACGAAGTCATGTACCCCTATGTGTTTGGACACAGATAGATACACAAACACACATAGAAACACATGTAGATTTATACTGAATACACAGTTTATATAGATGACATCACGTTATCCTCATTTTTCTGCACTTTGCTTTTCTCATTTAACAATATCAGAAATCCCTCCAGGTCACCTGGCAGAAAGCACGTCAGTGATTGTGCAATATAGTATGGGGGCGGGGGTGCTTCTATTTTGTGGTGTGGCTGTACCATGATGTATTCAACCACTCCCTAAGGATTAATATTTGCTTTGCCATTTTTTTAATCCCTTTCTGTTTGATTTTTTTCTATTGAGTAAGCTCCGCACCCAACGTGGGGCTTGACTTCACCACCCCGAGATCAAGAGTCGCGTGCTCAACCGCCTGAGCCAGCCAGGCACCTGCTTTGTTCACCATGTTTGCCTCTGTGAATGATACCACGTAAATCTTCCCTCACCTATATCCATCGGTTCCTAAGAATGGAAGCCATCCCGTAGAAACGTAAAAATGTTAAAAGATACTGGGGTGCCTAGCTAGCTCAGTTGGTGGAGTGTGGGATCCTGGTGTTGTGAGTTCGAGCCCCACACGGGGTGTAGAAGTTACTTAAATAAATAAAACTTTAAAAAAATGTTAAAAGATCCTGCCGGAAGGCTGTAACCATATAGAAACGTATAAGGATTTTCTCATATGGCTGCAAGCAATAACTCTCATGGTTCTTTCTTTTTCTTTCCTTCCTCCCCCTGCTCCTCCTTCTTCAAAATTTAGGTGACATTCACATGGCGTAAATTTAACCATCGGTGATCTTTAGCACAATCGTAGCGTTGTATCACCACTACCTAGCTCATCACCTAGGCCTAAAATATTTTCATCACCCTAAAAGGAACCTTGCGCCTATTTGTGTCATTTTCCATGCCTCTCTTCTTCTGGCCTCTGGCGATCATTAATCAGCTTTCCTTTCCTGTGAATTCACCCATTCTGGGCACTCCATACCAACGACGTCCTACAGGAGGCGGGTGACTTCTTTCACTCAGCGTGGTGTTTTCAAGGGTCATCCACACTTGATCCACAGGTACCAGTACCTCCTTCCTTTTCGAGCCTGGATAATGGGCCAGTGTACGAATATAACACCTTCCGTTTACCCATTCATCAGCTGAGGGACATTGGGGTTGTTTCTACCTTTTTTGGCTTTCGTGAATAGTGGTGCCACGAACATTCGTTCGTACGGGTATTTCTTTGAATACCTGTGTTCAATTATTTGGGGTCCATCCCTAGGAGTGGAATTGGTCATAATTCCATAGTATGGTCAAAATTACCGTAAAATTGGTAATTTTACATTTAACTTTTGGAGGAAGGGCCGAGCCGTTTTCCACAGCCGCTGCCCCGTTTTACATTCCCATAAGCAGCGCGCGAAGGTCTGTTTTCTCTTCTTATAAAGATTCCAGTCACTGGATTAGGACCCACGCTCATCCAGAGTGACCTCATTTTAATTTGATTCCATCTGCAATGACCCTATTTCCAAATAAGGTCACATGCACAAGCAGAGGATTAGGACTTGAGCATACCTTTTGGGAAGGCACAATTCAACCCGCGATGGGGTGTAATACCTTTCAGTCCACGGGAAATAGAAGCTGCTGTTGAGAACCATAACGAATTCAAGATAACACCAAGAACAAAGTGTCTTTTCCTTAAATTGTACGAATTTCAGCTACTTATGCAAAGGCAAGGCCATCAAGCACTGAGTGCTAGCCAGATGGACTTGGCAGAACACGGGTGTGGATAAGTTGGCTAATTTTAGTTCATGAATACTGCATTTTAATAACCCTTAATAACTCACGTAGTGAATTACTATTAGGTCTCCTGTGGGCGTACACAGACATGAAAAATTATTTCAGCGTCCATCATTTAGGTGCAAAACCTGAAGGAAGGACAAGAGATTTCAATGTTCCAAACACTGTGGGTTTTCTGAGTTTTCTTGTGGCAGACACAGCCAGCCAGCAGGCTAAGCCAGCAACTGCTCCCAACCTTTCACTCTCCTCTTCCTCCTGTTTTAGAAGCTGGAAAGCTCCTCTGCAGCTCGTTGCCAACTATGCTGGTGGATTTCCAGGAATATGTTCGTTTTCCTGATAGAAGGGACAGATGCGACTGGCTCCAGCCCCTCCCCTACCTCTTCCTGCCTTGAACACTGACACGATGCCTGGAGCTACAGCAGCCATGTTGCTGCACCGTGAGCTGAAGGCCAAGGGGATCACAGAGCACCTGACCCTGGTACCATTCAACCAGCAACAGCAGCTACCTACTTCCAGATTCCTTGTTTTGGGAGAAAATACAAGCCACTCTGAATCAGGTTCTCTGCTGTTTGTAGCCGCTCCCCCCCCCCCAACTCTCACAGATTCATTTCTTATGCTACTTAGACACAACAGTGCAATGACATAATTATATTTATGATTTCATTTTGCTTGGCAATTCAAAAGCCAATTCCCCAAAGTCAAATCTTAATGGGCTCCTTGAGAGTTGGTGCCCCCAGGTTTCTTTTTTAATGAATTGGAAATTTGGGGCTTAAAAATAGAGATAAAAACAAATCAGACCCTCCCCTCCAGGCTCCCATCACAGAGGCTGATCTTCAAAGGGACCACCCAAGTCACCTAAGTGCCATGAGGGGCCAATTACACCTGTATCATCCAGGTGGCTTTTTCCTCCTCTTACCCAGGACTATACAGGGATCCCCGAATTCTGTAGGGACTTGGACATCCCACTGACAATTGTCAGGCACTTTTAATCGCTCCTGCACTGCTGCAGAGTGAGCAAAGAAGCTTCCACTATTGGAGCGCTCAGTTGGTTGGCTCAGTTGGTTGAGCGTCCAACTTCAGCTCAGGTCACAATCTCATGGTTTGTGGGTTCGAGCCCTGCATCAGGCTCTGTGCTGACAGCTTGGAGCCTGGAGCCTGTTTGGATTCTGTGTCTCCTTCTTTCTCTGCCCCTCCCCCACTCACGCTCTCTCTCTTTCTCTCAAAAATAAACACTAAAAAAATAAACTACACGTATTACTTTTTTTTCCCTCTATGTATTGCTTTTGTTTATGAGCGAAAAATCCAAAGGCACGGGGCACGTGGCTGGCTCAGACAGTGTAACATGCAACTTTTGATTTGGGGGTTGTAAGTTCAAGCCCCACGTTTGGTGCAGAGATTACTTAAAAATAAAATCTTTTTTTTTTCTTTTTTTTTTCTTTGAGAGAGAGAGAGAGAGAGAGAGAGAATGCCAGTGGGGGAGAGGAAAAGATGGGGAGAGAGAATTCCAAGCAGGCTCCATTCCAACCCACCCGGGTGCCCCCAAAATAAAATCTTTTTAAAAAAAAATCCAAAGGCCAGGAGAGCCTGGGATGGCTCAGTCAGCTGAGTGTCCAACTCTTGGTTTCGACTCAGGTCATGATCTCACAGTTCCTGGGGTCGAGGCCCGAGTTGGGCTCTGTGCTGACAGTGGGGAGCCTGCTTGGGGCCTCTCTCTCTCTCTCTAAAACAAAAAAATGAAGAGCATAGACTCTTGATCTTGGGATCACAAGTTCAAGCAAGCCCCTTATTGTGTGTAGAGATTATTTAACTAAATAAATAAATACACATAGGAAGAAATACACGTGGCACTAATGCGCTCACTCTTAGGATTTCTCAGTACCACACTCTTCGTAAAAACAAGCACAAAGGGAAACATCCCTGGAGAAACTCGTCTCATTTCCATCCCTCTAGGGGGACAACGGGGGGGGGGGGGTTCAGATACCTTCCTCGTTTAACGAGGAAGCGATTGGTCATTGTCTGGAAGCGAAAGGAACAAAAATAAACTATGGTGAATGAGCTTACACATATCTTAGCCTGAAGATTTGAATTTAAAAAAAAGGGATTTTTTGAGGCCCATTTTCTTATTAATGGGCCTTCCCAGTACTATTTCATCTGAACTCCTGGAGAACTCGTGGGGGCATAGAACACTGGGTGGCTATTTCTGATGTCTTATTTATTCCCACAC